AGTTGTTCTCTCAAACAAAAGTATTTTCAACTTCTAGAGAAAAAAAAACATGTTGCATCTGCAGTTAGGGCAGACGTTCTATTTTGGCAACAATATGTGAAACACAGAAGTTTCAGAAACGTATATTGACAAAACCAGACAAAGGGCAAACCGTACACTTAGCCACTGGTAAAGTATATTTACCGCGTTTAAAACTATACGTTTTATTCTTTTTTTTTTTTATAAAAAAGTGCGCATTTGACCTCCGTCTCTTTTTTTTCCTTTTTTTAGTATTAAGTGACGGGACGAACAAGTCGTGCACGTACGAATATACGTCTAAGTTACACGTATATTCATAACAGTTGCAGTGCCACTCAGGGCTTTAAATCGCAAACATCTGAGGGGCACTGCCACTGCGCCGTTCACCCTGAGACGTAAGTTAACATGCCTGTAATTTCACCTGCACCCTTACCCTTCAAAACTGGAACACAGTAATGCTGTTATTACTGCTTGGCGGCAGAAATAGGTAAGGTGGCAGTACTACCCTAATAAACTCTTTCACAAGGAGCTCTACTGCTACTCAAACCTGATGGAAAGTAGCGACGAGGTCGACGATGTAGCATGCACACCTAAATAATGCCTTACTCTCGCCTTGAAAAGGAAATTTTAACACTATGACATGAGAATAGTTTCTAAGATTTAAATTCAACTCTTTACAGTTTGCGGTAAGAGTGGTTCAAAGTCCTAAATATCCAGCATCATGTCGTCTTGACTGTACAATATAAAATTGTACAGTCAACGTTTTGTGCCAACGTGTTTTGTATCAAAACTTTTTTTTTTTTTATGCGTCACCTGCTGTCACGCTCACGCTGTCTAAACAACAAGAAGAAGCTCTGAACAGAGCTTCTCCTACGCTCACCTCGTCATATTCAATTACACTGTCATATGATTCCGACTAGATTTGTCGTAAATAAAAAAGTAGTAACTACGAGTATTTAAAGCAATTTGAAATACAAAACACTTTAAATTACGCCTAATAATTACAGCGAAAATGTAAGTAAAAACGAACTACTAAATACGTTCTGTTTACACTGAAACATCTATGCTATTTAAACTCTCTTTTTCTTTCGTGTGTTTGTAGTGGAAAACCTGTTTCTTTACATTTTAAAGTTACTAAAATCTAAAGCTAAGCAAGGCAACAATGTTCACTATTCAATTTAGAAAACAAAAACAATATGTAATACTAAACTTCGGCTACTGTAAACAGGTCTTTGAAAATTCAATTGATGTTCTCTAATCGTCTTGCGCATTCAATAGTGGGATGTAATAAGCAAGTTTATTCCAGAGATTCAAATTCAGTTTCTTACTTATCAATATTAACTCTTCAATCATATCACTAACGTCTAATTTCGCATTACCTAACACTCATAAAAACGTCATTGTGACGTCATCATTGATACTGCCAATGTATTAATTGCGACTGTGGATTGCATAATGCTGACATTTGTTAAAGAATAAACATCTGTGATTGTACTTGCAATGAATCTAACTCGAGTATATTCTTTTTTAACCGACTTCAAAAAAGGAAGATGTTCTCAATTCGACTGTATGTTCTTTTTTTTTGTCTTTTTTTGTATGTATGTTACGCGATAACTCCGGTATTTGTGAATCGATTTTCATGATTGTTTTTTTATTGGAAAGGGAGTACTTCCATAGTGGTCCCATTTCTTTTGAAGAAAGTCATCCACCTAGAAGGGTGGCTGTTCACGCATGAAGATTCATTTCTATAAATAGCGCCTAACTTAAATTTAAGAGCAATTACTTTAATGGTTGATTTTGCTATTTCTCCAATTCAAGGCGTTTTTCTCTCGATATACTTTGAGTAGTGAGAACCGATTTTTATTATCTCCAGTGTCAAGTCCTGTATAGTGGCGAACTAGGCGATATTTCAATAGAACTTAGCAAATAGACGTAATTCCACGTACTTTTGAGGTCGGATTTTTTAGTACTCTGTACTGAGATTATTATAATATCAACTGATAGGACGAAGAAGTCGTGCGCCTGGTGGTAAGCGATACGCCTATCACAAATATCTGACAACCTTCACCCTGAGACATAAGTTGACAAGTCCCATGTGCCTCTAATTTCACCAGCATCCTTACCCTTCAAATCCGTAATACATTAATGGCCACATTACAGCTTGGTTGTAGAAATAGGTAAGGTAGCGCCTAATTTCGTATTAACATTTATAAAAACGTCGTTATGACATCAGTGTTATCACTGCTAATTTATTAATTTGCGACTGTGGATTGTGTAATCTAGATATTTGTCTAAGAATAAACTTACCATAAACATCTAACTCAAGTATAATCATGCTAGGTTCCAAACCAGTAGGGATTTCTCAGTACACCAAAGCCAATCAGCAATGGCAAACGGATTCAAAGCTAGAGCTGGTATTAGGAATATCTTCAGGGAGTCTGATTTGGGAGCTATTATGTTAGGATCAATTTAGGATACAAACTTTCCAACAATGGCTTTAGTACGAATAGTCTGACACTTTTTAGATCTATATTTGGTAATAAGGTAAAAGTTCAAACGTGCAAGCGTCCTCTCCAACAACCCCTGCGTTTTGCACCGATTTATCACCGTTTTAAGGCATCTATTTAAGTCTAAATATTTTTTACGAAAGTATTATCTTACGAAGTATTTAAAGCCATGGAACAGAAGTTTTTTTTATATTATCAAATGACGGGGTGAACAAGTCGTGCGCCTGATGTTAAGCTACACGCCTGTCCATAACAGTTGCAGTTCCACTCAGAGTTTTAAATCGCAAAGATGGGCACTGCCACAGCGCCCACGTGCCTGTAATTTCACCAGCACCCTTAATGTTTGTGATGTTAGTAATACAATCCTGCAAAGTTGTTAAGGTTTTGCAAATAACCCGTAAAAAAAAAACCTGTAACAAAAAAAACAGCAAATAATTACAAGTTTTTTCTTAAAAAAAACCTTTAAAAAAAGTTATAGACGTGAGGAGTGCATTCCTTTTGAAGGCGGGTCGTGTATAGTTTGGGGTAGCATATCGATGGATGCGTAAATAAATTATACATCCCGTTTTAAGAATAATCTCAGTACAGATTAGTAAAAAAACCGATTTCAAAAGGTCGTGGAATTACATCTATTTGCCAAGTTTTATTGGAAAGCGCGCGAAACCGGAGTCATCCCCAAATTTGCCATCCTTAGAGGTGAAATATTTTCTTCAAATTTAAATGGGACCAATACTGACGTACCCTCTTTCCAACAAAAAAAGAATCATCAAAACCGGCTCACGCTGTTGGAGTTATCGCGTAACATACATACAAAAAAAATACTGTCTAATTGAGAACCTCCTCCTTTTTATGAAGTCCGTTAAAAACTATTAAAGAAACATACAAATCTTGTAATGCCAGCATTACATATTTCAATACGTACTTTAATACTTAATGTTGGCTGCATAGACTTAACTAAAAACAACACTATATATCTAAGAGATTAAACCCAGAACAAGTACATAATGTTTCTGGAAACAAACAGGCAATTACTTGGTTAGTACATCTGCTAATATATCTTTAGTCGGCTGATATAACAATTCAATATGATCTTCTAACACTTGCTTTATGTAGTAAAACCGAATGTCAGTACGTTTGAATCAAATAGGGTTCTAGGCAAATTTTCAACCGACTTTAAAGAAGGAGGAGGTTCTCAATTAGAATGAAATTTTTTTTACACTAAGTGACGGGTCGAACAGGTCGTGCGCCTGATGATAAGCAACACGCCTGTCCATAACAGTTGCAGTGCCACTCAAAGCTTCAAATCGCAAAGAACTGAGGGGCACTGCCACTAAGTACAAGGCACAAGTTGAAAAGTCCCATGCGCCTGTAATTTCACCAGTACCCCTTACCCTTCAAAACCAGAGCGCAATAATGCTCACATTACTGCGTCGCGGCAGAAATTGGTAATGTCGCAGCATTTCAAAAGTATTTTACGCGATTACTTACAGCATCTGTGAACCGATTTTGATTATTCTTTTTTTGTTGGAAAGAGGGTACCTCAGTAGTGATCCCATTTAAATTTGAAGAAAATATTCCACCTAATAAAAAGGCCGATAAGCTAAACTTTTGAGTTCGGTTTTTTAAAATTGTGCCAACTGATTGTCGTTATACAGACGACAAAAGGTAGTCTGACCAAGTAACTCTCGCCAAAGTAGTAGTAATAAAAGTAAATTCACTAGCTTTAAAGTATAACGCTGTCAAATGTGATGTCGACTATCATTTGTCTTACTTTTTTTAGATAACTTTTTTTAAATGACTTGTAAACTTGTTTATGTCGATCAAAGGCAATCTCATATTGTTCTCTCAACTAGCACGTTTAATGTGAATTTTTGTCGTGTCGTGCGTATGTGTCCGCTGGTCGCGTCGGCGTCATTTGTCGCGGGACTAATTGTGCGTGAAATTGCGTGCCTCGCGTAATGAAACGCGTACGTGTGACATTTCCCAATGCGAGATTGTTTGAATTGAATGTGTCGATTGGAAATCTCGACGTGCCGTTTTGAGTTCCATTGTTTCCATCAGTTTTGTTATCAATCGACTTGAAGGAAAGGAACTTACAGTCAGTTAGTGTCAAAATTGATTTTATGTACCTCTAAGCCGGTTGTGACATGATTTTGAAGTGACGGGTGCCTGTTGGTAAGCTACACGCCTGTCCATAACAGTTGCGATGCCAGTGAGCTTTATATCGCAAAGATGTCACTGTCACTGCGCCTGTCACCCTAAGACATAAGTTGACAAGTCCCATGTGCCTGTAATTTCACCACCACCTTTAATCTTCAAAACTGGAATGCAGTGAGCATTACTGCGTCACCCTCAGATCTTTGCTATTTAAAGCTCTGAGTGGCACTGCAATTGTTATGGAAAGGCTTGTTCGTTCTGTCACTTGTTAATATAAAATATGAAAAGATACTTTACAATCTTAATGTTTGTTCTCAGATGCTCCATCATGTCGTGCGGGCGGCGTATCTGTGGTAGGCGCAGCGCGAGGAGAGTCTGTCGTGATAGTTTGCGAGGTGGACGCCGATCCTCCTGCAGCAGTTTTCAAATGGAAATTCAATAACTCCGGTGAAACAATTGATGTTGCTGCTGACAGATATACCTCTAACGGCAGCGCTTCTAGTCTTAAGTAAGTATAAACTAAAGCATAGATATTATCTATTAATTTTCAATTGATACTTACTTGCTACGGTGGTGCAGTGACCCAAAGTAGGTCTTCGCCTCTGACAACAGATTCTGCCACTCCTCTCGGTTCTGCGCCTTCCAGCCACTAGCACCGAGGTCCTTGAGATCTTTCAGGACTTCTTCGCTCCAGCGGTGTATGAGACGTCCGACCGGTCGGCGTCCTTTCGGTCGTTCCAAATAAGTCCTCTTCGCTTCACGATGTTCTCCCATTCTATCCACGTATCCGAGCCAGCGGAGTCTCTCAAGTTTTGTTTCTCCCACAATATTGATCCCGGATATTAGATACTCAATATCAAGGTTCTTCCTTGTTCTCCAGTTCCCATCATTTGAGTTGATTCCACAATTTTCTGTAAGATTTTTCTTTCCGCCACTAACAACTTATGTAATACCTAATAATTAATTCTAGAGTCGGCGGACTAAAGCACATAAGTCAAAATCCAATATCATTCGTTTAAATTAATACATATACTGCTCAAAGCACATAAGTCAAATTCGTTTGTTAGTTCATAAATTTCGAACTTTATTCTAGAATTTATTTAACTACCAACACTAAAAAAAAACCGACCTCAAAAGTACGTGAAATTACATATAATTACCAAGTTTTATTGAAATTGGTTATCCGAAAGTGAGCAAACCCAGATTCATCCCCTAGTTCGCCACTATCCGGGACTTGACACAGGAGATAATAAAAATCGGTTCTCACAACTCAAAATACATTAAGAGAAAAACGCTTTGAATTGGAGAATAGCAAAATCAACCATTAAAGTAATTGCTCCTTATAATAAAATTTAGGCGCTATTTATAAAAATGAATCTTCATACGTGAATAGCCACCCTTAGAGGTGGATGATTTTCTTCAAAATTAAACGGGACTACTATGGAGGTACCTTCTTTCCAACAAAAAAAGAATCACGAAAATCGGTTCACAAATACCGGAGATATCGCGTAACATATATACAAAAAAAAACGTACAGTCGAATTGAGAACCTCCTTCTTTTTTTGAAGTCGGTTAAAAACAACACAAAAAATGTATAATAGTATTAATATACTATTATATTAATACTATTATACATATACTATATTACATATATTATGTATTTGTTAATACAAATGAAGCACTTTTTTGACTTATGTGATTTAGTCTGCCGACCCTAGAATTATATACCTAATTGAAAATTATGAAAATATTCGATTTATTTTAATTTTTTTTTAATTAATAATAATAATAATAATAATAATAATTAATTGATATTCAATTATTTTTCGTGAAATTATCCGTTGGCTTAATTCCGGCCGGATCAAAGGAATTTTTTCTTGAGTGTTCGATCTTTGTATGAATAATTTTATAACAAACTATTGGAACAATTTCACGAAAACTAATTGAATATCAATTGAATAAAAAAAATTGGAATACAGCGAATAGCGACATCTCTCGCCAGGACTGGTAGCTGTAAAGGTACTGACTGGGTGATAAATCTTTCATAGATTTCTCATAGATGGCGCTACGACTAAAAAGCAGTTGAAAAACCAAATACAAAGACACGACGCAAGCACATAGAAAAATTCATGAGGTCGCAGGTTCGTTCCGTGGTTTAGTTGGTATAGCGTCTGGCACGGTAAGCTAGAAGACGTCGGTTCGAATCCGGCCGGATCGAAGGATTTTTTTCTGAGTGTTCGATCTTTGAATTACTAATTATATTCGATTAGTTTCATAGATCCTAGTTTTATTTCATTGCAATTTCTTTACACGCCGGAAAAGAAATCTATTGGCAATACTGTGTGTATTCCTGTATCTAAAGCAATGTTTTTTTTTTACCAGGTACACTCCAGTAGCAGATTTAGACTACGGGACACTTTCCTGTTCTGCATCCAATGAGGTCGGCACGCAAGTAGCGCCGTGTGTTTTTCAGATGGTCGCTGCGGGTGAGTATCGAAGTTGAATTACTTATATTAAATTATTGTTAATGATTTTCTGCCTTAGTACGCCTAGACACTAATTTTCTTTAACTCCACTCCTTCCACTACGTAGTACAATTGCAACGATCTTCGTCGGTGTTTTGTAAAAATGGCGAAAACCATTTCCACCAAAATTTATCAGGGGAGCATGTTTTATGTTTTAACAACTATTTTAAAATATTTACGTCCTGTTTTAAAATCCAATTTTGGTTTTAATTTATTTTGCAGATTGTTTAATTGTTATTTTATGCCATTTATATGCACATGCAAGTTAACATGTTTTTGTACCTGTCCAGATATATTTAATTTAGTTAGTTATTAAGATTTTTGCTCTATCATATTAAATTTTTACTTAAATAGACCGAAATTCTTCGCCGCGGATAAAGCCGAAGGGGTTTTATGTATATATAATAAATATTTTTTCTGCATTTCAGTCAATAAACTAAAAAAAGTTTAAGTTTTAAAATTGAATTTAAAACAGGATATAAGTATTTTAAAACAGCCGTGAAAAAGTAAAACAAGCTCCCCGGAATTTTATGTCAAAATGGCGCTTTCGTTCTTTCTACATAAGACCGAAATATGAGTGAGGGCCATTTCTCATACTACCCTCCTTATCATAACTAGCATAATCAACATTTTAGCGAAATTGAGTTATTAACATATCTGCAATCATCAAAACAGGATCCACAACCCCTTGTAACCGGTTTTTTAATATCTTATTTAGTTTCAGTTTTATTGTTAAGACTGCGCCAAGACAGCGATATATAATTGCGAAATAATTGCGTTCATTTGATCCCTTGCTGTATCGTTATTACAAAAGCTTTAGTTATTAAATTAATGTATGCAATATTTAACGACTCACTTCTTAAGTCATACTCTTTAGAAATACGATTACTTGTAGTTTTCTCCATAGAAAAAAATCCGAAGTTATCTCCAAAACACAAAATAAACACTTAAGGTAATCGATTTTTGAATAGTAACTATACTACATTTTTTTTATAACGTGTAATCCGTACATTTTCAAAATGTGTAGGTATTAGTTTTAATAATACGAAGGAAATACCTAAATTCGTACGCGGTCCGCTCGTATTCGCAAGAGCTACCACGTCTCACTCCTGTCCGCTGCAGTCCTGGTTCGACCGTCAGACGTGGGAGTTGTGTCGCTTGGGCTTGCACATGGCTTTAAAACCGTATGCCACACGAGCACGTACACAGACCGCCTAGACTGCCTAAAATCAATTAGCGCAAGAAGCTCGGTACCCTCTTAAGCGAAATCAGCATAGTTGACATTTTTCGAAGGAAAAAAACTTTAGTTGCAAATATCTCGAAAGTTACCAAATACAAATGCGTTGTTTATGACAAGAAGGGTAGCATACCATACATAACCAGTCACTGGAAATTAATTAGTTTTAATTTGACTTGTATTAAAATTTACACCACGATGTTATTACCGTCTGAAAAGATTGGACAACCCTAACGACGAAAAATTTGGATGTAACTAAGACCTGTTATAATTTCTAGACTTCATGAGCTTTGAATTTGGTTTTCTTAACAAAGTGAAATGAAAATGTAAAAATAATATATTACTATGAATCTCATAAAGTTATGAGCTTGGTAAAAGGTCTTAGGTGTGGACTAAACAAGTACTTTTGAAGAATTTATATACATATACACATAACAATGATTTAATATTCACAATTTTCTCACATTATTTGATTATAAATCGGTCATTCGGGAAATCGGGAAAGGAGGTGTCCCGTCGAGACGTTGACGTTTGGGATGTTGCAACACGTCCGTAACGTCCAGATAAATGTAATATGTTTTATACCTGATTAACTCCCGATTTAAAATCAAATAATGCTTATAGCAAATTTTAGAAACTATTTTTTCCATAACTACGCATATTTAACTCTCAAAAGTTCTAACCTATACTGTAACGTTTTAAATCATGAGATCTACAGGTTTTTGGAATAAAAAACCCATGTCAGAAAAAAAGACCTTTCTAACACACCGTGTGTCGGGCTAACACTGTTCCGCTCTTAGACTCAATTTATATTCCCGTGCAAAAGAGTGAAAGCGAATTTTTATTGTATATTGAACTTTATAAATAAAAGAATACATCGTTTTGGCACTTTATGTCCATTGTGTAACGTAGAAACTAGATACGAGCGAAACACGCAGGTCGCGCGTCTTTCGGAGAATTCTTGCGCAGTATCGGAACAAGTTTATACTTTACGTTCTATATAATGTTCATTAAGTCACGTACAATTACGTAAAAAAGCGTAATGGTTTCACTTAACGTAACATTCCGTTGTTGGCGATCACAGCAACCGGCGATAGCGACTGGCGGTCGCATTCCTGACCGCCAGTTGCCTGGCGAACAGTAGCTTATGGATCCAAGCGGCCGCAACCGACTGCCAGTCTTACCGGAGATTTTAATACGATCAGTTGTATTAATCCACAACCAGAAAAAGAGTTATTTATCAGTTATTTTAGGAAGACGAAGACGACGATACACTTATTTTGCCGGTTTCTTCCCATATACATATTTTCTCCTACTATGTTATCTCTATATCCCTCGAATCATATAGGGTGCATGTTTAGACACTAAATCTACTAAGAGTTCGTCGTCTTGCTAGCCACGCCCACAAGTCGCGTAACGCGGTCGCTTGCGATGCTCAGCGCTCGATATACATTCATACTAAACAGCAGTGGTGCCAGATTAGGCGATTTTAACCATTTAGGCTACTTCGAGGGGTCGTGCGGCGACTAAAAAAGTGATGCGACTAGGCGATATATAAGCTATGTTTGAAATAGGAATAGGCGATTTTAGGCTCCTTAATAAAATTGACCTTCCTTATCGAATTATATAGAAATCCTTAACAAACTTGGTTGGGGATCTTGTGAATACCTGAAATACAGGAATTTCCTAGTTCAGGTACATGTGTTATTTTGACATTAAATCGCATAAGTAGTCTTTAGTTTTCTCTGTACATTATGTTACTGAATAAACAATTTTATTATTTTTTATTTATTATTGTGGGGAGTGGAGTTGTAAAACAACTCATTTGGGGGGTTTGAGTATTTCTACGTGTGGGGAATTGGGGAAATAAAAGAGTTCATATTCCTCAATTTCCGGCAGCATGCAGAATTATAGAATTGTTTTCCTTGATTTTTAGAGATTTTATGGCTTGGGCGAATATCGGCTACTTAACACACATAAATTGGCGAATTAACTTTACAAAAGTCTGACAACGCTGGTAAACAGTGGGTCGCGGTCGCCAGTCGCAGTCGCACCCGCCGATCGCGGTCGCCAACATCGGAATGCTACTTTTACCGCCTCTCAAGAAGAGGCCGTGGGTTCAAACCCGGGTTCGTACCTCTGAGTTACTTGGAATTTACGTGCGAAATTTCATCTAAAATTCACCATGACTTTTTAATGGAAAATATCGTGACAAAACCTGCATATCGAAGAAGGGTCAAAGCCCTCGGACAATGGCGGTGACGGACTATGGCCTAAATCCTGTACTGAGAGGAGACCCGTGCAAACATTACAAAATTACGCTTCTAGTCTGTTCTACAATATTAAATTTGTTTTCCAGGCAAACCACACGCACCTCGCAACTGCACTCTGTGGAATCAAACTTCAGATTCTGTAGAAGTATCTTGCGTTCCTGGCTTCGACGGAGGCTTGCCGCAGAGGTTTCTACTGGAGGTCTACTCTGGTAAAGAAAAATACCCCAGGTAATTAATATTTCCATAAGAGTAGAGTTACAACGATATGTACGTTTGCCACACCTCATCGGGCCTGTCTCCCACCGGGGTAGGTAGACAATGGATAGATAGATAGATATGTATTGCTCACACGCAAGAACAACAACAGTACATGAATAAATTTTTATTGAATTGATATTCAATTATTTTTTGTGAAATTACTCCACTAGTTTGTTATAATTATTAATACAAAGATCAAACAGAAAAAAATCAATTCGATCCGGCTAGATTCGAACCGAGCGACAGCTTCCTAGCAAACTGTACCAGACGCTGTGCCAACTAAGCCACGGAACTAACCAGCGGATCTCACGAATTTTTCTATGTGCCAGTTGTCGGATCTTTGTATTTCATTTTCAACAACTTTTTAACCGTAGCGCCATCTATGATAAATCCATAGATTTATCATAGATGGCGCTACGGCTATAATATTATATATAATATTATAATTTTTTTTTAAATTATATTATACGAGTATAATATAATAATTTCATAAAATTATCGAGGGATATTTTTTGTGTTTAATCTTTGTGTTAATAATTAGTACATTAATAGCTTGAAACTAATGTGGACAGAGACGATCTCTTCCATACAACCTTTGAGATAAACGAAAGCTAATCAGAGTGGGATACGTAGTGTACCAATAGCAAATTTTAATTGGTATAGATAAACAAAAACTTATATGTTTTATATTTAATTTTACTTTAAATGCCATTACTGTCCAAATTGTCACGTTTAGATACATATTTACACGGGCAGGACTCCGTCACTCGTTCAAGATTAAGCGATAAGTGCCTACCGCTGAGTGCGCCGGCGTCGGCGCAAGCGCTCATACAAGTCTTTCATTTATGAGTATTCGTCTCCGCATGACTGCACACGGCGCCAACGTTATTTTCACCTCTCTGAGCAAGTACTTAGGTTCCTTTACACTCATAGTAAACGCCTGGTGTCATTAATCAGATTTAGTAGGCTATTATAACGTAGATATTTTCGATTTTGATGAGAGTGATGTATCTGTTACGTAGTAACTAATACGTAATCTGTGACACGGGGCAGTAAAGCTTCTATATTATACCCAGAGCAGCTGCTGTAGGTCGCCTGGATTCGTCATTTTAAAATGATGGTAAAGCTATATATACGTGCAGAATATTTACCACCCTCCTATGTACTTCTACCGCAAAAAGTTAGCAGCAGTAGGGCTCGTTGTGAACGAATTCGTCCAATGAAGCACTGCCACCAAAAGGTATTGAGAATCAGTGCTATTACAAGCATGTCTGCCTTTATTAAAAAAAAATTACAAGGATGGGTGCTATATTCACGATAATATTTCACTTACTCAGCTTGTCGCTGTATGCTCAGCTCATAATCGTAAATTATTCTGGAATACTGCGCTATTGTATAATTCTTTCCCCTCAAATCTCGAAAAACGCAGTCGTAAACATTTTAGTAGAGGTCTTGAAATATAAAACTAGAATAAGTTACATTGTTCTTAACGTCGGAAATAAATAACTTTATACTTTATTATTATTTGCTTGGAACAAAATATCTCAATAACGTCTTACAATTTCTAAGACGTGCCAGCCCTAACCACGGGAGGTTTTGTTTTAATATTACAGAGGCAATCTGCCCTCCGCCTGCCGTTGACGTGCGTAAACTTAACAACTCTGTTATGACATTCTTACCAAGTTTTTTAGTTATCAAAAATGCTAGTCGGTTTTAGCTGATACTTCTGTTATCGATGTCTCTGAATCTCTGAATACACTTATTTTTTTTTCGTTTCTTTTAACCGCTGTGCCGTAATAGGGTAACTTAAAAAAATAATACGCGAATAATGATAAGTCCATTATAGCCTTTACTTAATTCGAAATAAGGACATTGAAATCACTACTGAAATCATAAATTGTTCAATAATATTATGTAATTGTAAATTATTGATTTTGGTACCTTGTTTTAATTCGTACAGTAAAACTCCTTTGAAAAAGTTCGTCCAGGGAAGTATTCCTAACTTACTTATTCCAGTAATGTGAACATTACTCCGTTCCGGTTTGGAAGGGTAAGGGTGCTGAAAAATAATTACAGACACATGGGACTTGTCAACTTATGTCTCAGGGTGACGGGCGCAGTGGCAACGCCCCTAAGATCTTTGCGATTTAAAGCTCGGAGTGGCACTGCAACTGTTATGGACAGGCGTGTAGCTTACCATCAGGCGCAAAAAAGTGACTGTAGACTAATTGTTTATTTTGAAATTAGTCTTTAAATACAAAGTAAAATAACCATTTTGGGCATTTTGTTAGCGTTCTGCAAATTGTGCCGGTATGTATAGTTAGGGTGGTAGAACTTACCCGGGTCGGCTCTACGTGAACCAGTATACAATTAAACAAATTTAAAAAGACATGTATTAAAATGTTGCTTTCAAATTTGCACAAGCAGCAGACAGAAAAATCTAAACGGTCATCTTTTTAATGATTGATCATTTTCTCCGAGACACAAAATAAATTAAATGAATTGATGTTTTAATTTGTCATGAGCTATGCAAAAAATGTTTGATTTCTATAAATTAACCTTGATAGTTTTATGTTGGGCTTCAAAACTAAGACAAAAGAGCATTAAAATAAAATTTTGATACTTGTTTTCAAAATTAATTAAATGTTGATTGTATATACTAATATACAAATTATATATTAATTTGACCTGAGAACACGTTCAGAAACGCAAGCAGATTGGCTTCTGTCTTTTCATATTCTAACCTAACCTACGCAACCAAGGTTTATTAAGAGATCAATATCAAAAGATAAATTGGTTACATGTCATCAATCGTTAAAAGAAAAGCCAAATAATAAAAAAAAGAGGAACAAGTGTTATTTTTGAATACCAAATATTAATTTACTATGCTTAAGAGGGAGCAGAGGAAAAATTCTTAATCTTCGATTTGATTTTAGAGGGCTATATCCACTTTAAAGTTAAAAATAAAATATTGTATGAGTAACTACACGATATGTTCAAGCATAGACACTAATCAGAAACATAAAACAATAAAGTTTCCTCGATAAACAAAACTCACGAAATGACCTAATTTTCACATTTTTTCGATTCATCCTCGAAATGCTACAGGTTATTAATGCAAAAATTAGATAATTAATTATATTTATGCATGATCGAGAACTGTCACTACGGATTTTTTTTAATCCCTTTAGTTTTAGAGTTATTCCGCTAAAATGAATTTGGTACTTTTAATGCGCAAAATTCAACATCTCCTGTCGCATATCACGCGAACTTCAGGCATATTTGTTTCACAAATTTGGGCGGAGCCAACGTCAAAACTTTTTTGGTATGCTCCCTCTTAAACATAATAATAGTGTTGCCCTTGAATGCAGTTCATTTATAACTTATATGTAGATCTTCTAATATAGACGGAACAATTAATATACATATCACATATAAAAATACATGTAGTTTATTTAAAACATACACACACGTGCACATTTACAGTAGTTCAATTAATATCTTTGAGAATCATAATATAATACTATCCCATTTAAAAAAGTATCTTTTAAATAGTACATAAATATAACTACTAGGAGGGTTCGTGAAGGAAAGTTTGTGCAACCTCGAACTGTCAATTATTACGGACGAAGTCTAAACAAATATCTGGTACCACATATTTTTAATAATATAGGTATCCTTAGGAAAAATCCAGTAAGTAGTGTTCTAATTTTAAAATCTAAATTAAAAAATATATTATTAGGATAGTTAGTAGAAGTTAAGTCTAAGTTTAGTTATATTAATTATATTAGTTGTTTGTTATTTTTATTGTGCGCTATTAATTCATTAATTAAGAATTAACATATAATGTGTGAGAGCGTGCTCGCCAACAAACTGTTTCCAGTTTGGCGGGAGATAATTTTTTTTAATAAATGAATTAAAAAAAAAATGTACATAAATTACCATTAATGATAATAAAAACTTATAATTATTATAATAAAAAAAAAATATCTATTTTGCAAAGTAAACCTGGAACATAATAATATGACATTCCCAAGTTTTTCATAAGAAATATATTGTGATGCGAATACGTTACTTCAAAGGTAAACAATACTCTTCAACATCAAAGACTTGTTCATATGTGATGCTAAAGTAAAACGAAAGCAATTTTTCAAAAGGATCTGTGTATATTCGACATGTTCAATTTTACGTGCTCGTCGTATACAGCAAAGTGTATTGTATATATTTGAAATCGTTTATCGTAGAATGCATTTGTACTGGATAGCAGACTAAAGTGCTATGACCATTATGACATAAAGTATATCGTGCTATTGGTTGAAGGTGAAGTGAAGTTATAGTTTGTCTTTTTTGAAGACGGAGTAAAATGACATTTGTAGAATTTTCATAAAATTTTAAATAGTTATGTAGTTGTTGTCGATAGTTTTATCGATAGAATGTGAAGGAAGATGAAATTTTGCCAAAAATGCTGAATTATTGTCAATATTACGAACGTTCTAAAGAATAGTAATAACGTTATTGCTTTATTTATTCTTATTTTGACAGTTGACAGTTGGCCTACTAATCGAGATCAATTTTTGTTCATATACGTATTAACAAGAATTGCAGGATTTGATTACCTATATTAAATTAAAATGAAAAACTTCAAAACATCGATTTTACATCGATCGAAACATCGATTTCTCAAACACGTATCGTATAAAATTATATTTATTTTAATTTTCTTATCAATTGTGTGATTGTGGTGTTCATTTGTATGCATTACCTTAAGTATAGGTGTGTGCGAAAAGCCAGTGCGTGAATATGAGAGAAATGTGATGTGAAATCAGCCTGAAAATTTGTATATACAACGCATTTTTTGCATTTCAGTTACTTTATGCTTTAAGAACGAGTTTGAGAAAATACGGCGACGATATGTCATCATTGTATTTTTCATAAACATAATTCTAAATATAGTGTATGTATGTATGAAC